TCGCTCACTCAAGTAGGAGAGAGACAGATGTCGAACGCTGCCGAACGCGGAGGCCGATTGTGCCTCTTTGTCGCTCGTTCCGCGCTCTCGCTTGCACTTCAAGCCTTAAATGGAACGCCTCAGAGCGAGGTAACGCCGCATGAGTCATGTTTTTTCGTGCGTGCAACCGGGCTCCATCGAATTATAAGACGTTGTCACGTCAATAAAACAAAAATACTGGTATGCAAGGGAATAAAAAGTAGGGAAAGAACGAGTACAAAGATAAGAGACGAAAAATTAGAAGAAGTGGTTGATTTTAGGTATCTAGGAAATCAGATAAGTCAGGAAGGAAGTAATAAGGATATAAAGCAAAAGATAGAGCAGAGTCAAGAAAAGAGAAAAGAAAAGGTTAGAAGCGTTCGAAATGTGGTGTTACCGGCGAATAATGAGGATACCGTGGATAAAGAAGGTTAGAAATGAAGAGGTATTAGAAAGAATAGGAGAACAGAGGACTTAATAGAAGTCAGTAAGATGTAGGTGAGATAGGTTGACATGAACGTCTGGTCAGAGACACAGTAGAGGCAGAAACAAGAGCTAAGAGGAGTAGAAGTAGATCTAGATTAGGTTATTGTTCGCAAATAGATGTGGGATGTTCTAGTTTTAGAGAAATGCGAAGATTAACTCAGAATAGGAATGAGTAGAGGTGCGAGTCCAACAACTCTTGATGATGATGAAGTAATGCGTAATGGAAACCCTTCCCTGATCACTCCGTTACGTAATGCGTGTGTTGTAAAATTTATAGGATTCAATTGGTGTTATGTCATTTATGTACAATCCCTTTTGGCTTTTTATATTATTACGCGTTATTGGACATACACATTTAACACAAACCTAGTACAATTAGAAAAGGTTTTCTATACTGCTGTTTCGTGATGAGTTCCCAAAATTGTGATGTATTCTTTCTGTCATTGTTTATACTATCTCTTATCTCTTGCATTCTTGTTTCGATGAAATTTTCATCCGCCCGATTGCACGACAGCTTCACAATGCATTCCCTAGCCTTGTCCGGTTTGTTCTTCTTAGCCAAGTAATATGGAGTTTCCGGTAAAAACCAGCACATAACTGTAACAATAAAGGGCACTATGGCACAAGTTCCTGCCAACACGTGATATGACACGAAAGGGCCCACTGTGTAAATATACAATCCTCCCAAACTTCCTAGCACAGTGAATAGGTTAGAAAGACGTCCTCGTATATCCTTTTCGGATATCTCCCCGATATAAATTGGAAGAGTCTAAAAACTGGAAACTATTTTGTAAAAAATATAAAAGATAATATAAAACTTACGGCACTGAGCTGACCACTGGCAATACCACCAATTAATCTGGCTATGTACAACGCCATAACCGATCTTGCAAAAAAAATTATCACCAATTATATTTAAAAAAAAAGCAGTTTATTATTAGCCAAAGCGCTTTGAATTGAACAATAAAAAGGGTATCAACTTCTTCACAGTGTTCTGGGGCATGGGACATGAAGTGCAACAATGAAACTTGACCCTCTGGTAAAAAAAGAAATATAGTTGTTGCTCTTGGTGAAAGGTTGCATTGAAATTAATCTCATAAAATGAAAATAAACAATCACCAAGCAGTCTAATACACACTTACCAGCTATAAATCGGGTGAATCCAAATATTATGCTCGAGTATGAAGAAGACAGGTTACTTCCGCTGCTTTGCATTATTGTTTGCATGTATGCTGATATTGCTTGAGACCCACTGAAATGCTGAATGGTTTTAATACCTAAAATAACACGAATATGCGTTTTTAAAATTCTTATCAATAGCTTAGAAATACTTCACACTAGCAGTAGTATCTACTAATAGTTTACTGATGATGACGAATGAATCTTGACCCTTGACGGCTAATAATTTTTATAGTCAGGGAGCTAACGCGTAAAGAAACATATAATTCCCAACCCTCTGCCTCTGCTTGGTAAGTGTTTTCTTTGCGCGTCAGTTCCCACTTTAATAGACTAGACTAGCAAGGACACGCGAAGGGAGCAGGGAGAGTAGTTAATTCCCTCAGATATTTAAAAATTTTACTAAAACAATACGAAAAACTCGGTGGTAAGTTTGGTAATACCAAACTTGTCTAGATGATGGGACCGTCGCTCTGACAGGGCTTGTAGGAAATGGATGGGGTAGACGGAGGTCAAAGGCATATATGTAATATTCCTATATGATCAGATAATGTTCGTGGGGCCTGAAAGGGGCTAAGGCTGATATTAGCAGTTTCAGTTACTATTCATGGACAAATTTACAGGAACTAGAAATCTGTACTTTGATGATTTATTTTGAAATCCCCACGTAATGCGTAAAATGGAAGGGGACAAATTGACAAAACGGCATTGTATGAAAATAAATAAAAGTAAAATAAAAATACTGGCATGTAAGGAAAGAAAAAGTAGGGAGCGCATGTAAAGTTAGCAGATGAAATACGAGGGCGGTTCAATAAGTACCCGTGTTTGAAGACAGAGGACGTTTCTGAGGGAAATTGGTGTTGTCANTTTTAAAATATTAAAGTGTTAATTATTAATTAATTAGTATACATCTTACACTGGTAATCTTGATGCCTATCGGAGAATCATCTGATCTCAGTAAAGGCAAAGCTGGCGATGTCCATGAAGCATGGGTAGAATTACTGAGTGCAGTTAATGAAGCTAAAAAAAATATTAGTTTGTATTCAGTAGGAAAAAATTAATAAGATAGTTCTTGCATTATGATTTGGCAGCATTTACCTGCAAGCAGTGTTAGCAACCGCAGAGAGTAAAATTATTGTACCAGGGCCATAAATTTATAATAAATTGGAAAAACATATAGATAAGGCGTGTGTACAACTTGCGTTTTAAGTATCTGTTTTTGAGTACCATTAATTACGGCCCTGTTTCTTTCTTTCATGTCAATACCAACAATTACCCTTATGGAGAAGCTAGATTTTCCGATTCTAGCCGTGTCTTATCGATGAAATCCCCATGATAGATCATGGTGGCGTCAAATATGTTCTACGTTTCGTTTTCCATCACGCAGTTCCAGAAGATAAATTTCATCAATAAAACACATCTAGGACTCGGAAATCCTCCAGCTTCGACAGTTGATAGCGGTGAAGGTCTAAATCAATTTCTAATTATCCTAATGTTGACAATTGAATGCTAGTGAATTCTAATTGCTTTATCGGGTAAAAGCTTAGGTCAAACCTTGGTTAGTTAAGGTCAAATTAATATAATCTTAAAATATTNGGTTGTTCTAGTTTTAGGAAAATGCAAAGATTAGCTCAGGGTAGGAAAGAGTGGAGGTGCGTATCCAACCAGTCTTAGGACTGACAATCTTATAATGAAAATTCACGAAATTCTGCACGATTAATATTATTTAACAGAAAACAAGACTATATTTTAGATGTATTTCTATTCACAGTATGTCAGTTAACATGCTACTTAGTCCTACAATATAATTATTTTTTATCTTTATCTTACCGTCTAATAAAGCTGAAATTGGTTCTAGGTACTTAAAATTACATACAATGGAAAAAATTGCTACAAGTAACATATTTCAAAAAAAGCGACAATGTTATCTTAGTTGCTGATACATACTTATATATCTTAATGCAATTATTGTATTATCATGAACATACATATAGTTGCGATGTTTAAAATTGGCATAGTCCGCAATAAAACTGTCACATTTACTTTCTTCCTTCAACATACCAGCTAGAGTGGTTGCTGTCAGAACGTCTACTTTTACACCCGACAGGCGTTGTAATCGAATATCGCAAACATAGAAAAGAGATGTCAACTAGGAATTGCAGCGGACGCTAATAAAGAAAAAGGAATAACATTACACCAATTGATGTGTAACAGAAAGAGATGCAGACAAGCAGAAGTTGAGCATGTTGCCAGTATCGGACTTTAAAGAAAGTTAAACATTCTTAGGAATTTAGGAAAGCCGATCCTGATCTTTTGCGTACCTAAGCAAGCGCAACTGCTGCACCACCTGTTGTTATTCGGTTATTTCTTTTCTTAACTTACTTAACTAACTTAACAAGGGCTTGATCAAACGACAGCAAATAACTACAGTACCAAGTGGAAATAAGAAAGAATATACGTCCATTATCACAGATAATTTATTGCAGACTAAGCCAATTTTNATTGTAATGATGAAGATAAACTTCAAGAGTTACAAACCTTATGTCTACTTAAATTCACTCCTAGTTCAAACACATAGTGCTAAATTTTTAAATGTAATGCGCATGCGTAGAAATTTATGCGTAGTTAGTAATTCCCCGTCAAGTAGAAATAAATATTTCGAAATTCCAGGCATATCCTAATAAATCTGCATAATTCCTAGTAAATCCTGTTTTTCTGAACGAATCTCCTTAGTCTCTTAATGTCAAAATAAATCCCTGGAATTCACGGAATCCCAACAGGATGTACATCATAAATCCCTAGCGCTTTACCCCTCGAAGCGTATAATTATATTTAAAAAAAAAGCAGTTTATTATTAGCCAAAGCGCTTTGAATTGAACAATAAAAAGGGTATCAACTTCTTCACAGTGTTCTGGGGCATGGGACATGAAGTGCAACAATGAAACTTGACCCTCTGGTAAAAAAAGAAATATAGTTGTTGCTCTTGGTGAAAGGTTGCATTGAAATTAATCTCATAAAATGAAAATAAACAATCACCAAGCAGTCTAATACACACTTACCAGCTATAAATCGGGTGAATCCAAATATTATGCTCGAGTATGAAGAAGACAGGTTACTTCCGCTGCTTTGCATTATTGTTTGCATGTATGCTGATATTGCTTGAGACCCACTGAAATGCTGAATGGTTTTAATACCTAAAATAACACGAATATGCGTTTTTAAAATTCTTATCAATAGCTTAGAAATACTTCACACTAGCAGTAGTATCTACTAATAGTTTACTGATGATGACGAATGAATCTTGACCCTTGACGGCTAATAATTTTTATAGTNCGGATATATTTTTAGCAATAAAACTAGTTAAAGCATGACTTAGTATTGTCTCCAATTTACATGTTGCACAATAAAAAATAAGAATTACTCTAAATTTTCGGTAAAATAGAATCATTTATGAGAATTACACAACAAAAGTTCCGACCCTTAAGCATCAGTGTAATGATCATGAAATTTCAAGATTTACAAACCTTATATGTCCTTAAATTCGCTCCTTCTCTGTTCATACACAGAGCTACAGTTTTTAATGTAATGCGAGTGAGTAGAAATTTATGCGGACTTCCCCATCAAGTAGAAATAAATCTCTTGAAATTCCACGGTAATCCCAATAAATCTATAATAATACTTAGTAAATCCTAGCTTTTATGAACAAATCCCCTTAATTCTTCAATGTCAAAATAAGTCCCTGGAGCTTTTGGAACTCAAAGAGGGTGTAGGTACATAATCAATCCCCAGCGGTTTACCCCTTGACGCGCAATTATATTTATAAAAATAGTTGGTTATTAGCAAAAGCGCCTTGAATTGAACAATAAAAAGGGTATCAACTTCTTCACAGTGTTCTGAGGCATGGGCCATGAAGTGCAACAATGAAACTTGACCCTCTGGTAAAAAAAGAAATATAGTTGTTGCTCTTGGTGAAAGGTTGCATTGAAATTAATCTCATAAAATGAAAATAAACAATCACCAAGCAGTCTAATACACACTTACCAGCTATAAATCGGGTGAATCCAAATATTATGCTCGAGTATGAAGAAGACAGGTTACTTCCGCTGCTTTGCATTATTGTTTGCATGTATGCTGATATTGCTTGAGACCCACTGAAATGCTGAATGGTTTTAATACCTAAAATAACACGAATATGCGTTTTTAAAATTCTTATCAATAGCTTAGAAATACTTCACACTAGCAGTAGTATCTACTAATAGTTTACTGATGATGACGAATGAATCTTGACCCTTGACGGCTAATAATTTTTATAGTCAGGGAGCTAACGCGTAAAGAAACATATAATTCCCAACCCTCTGCCNGAGACGTTGGGAGAAGTGTATCTTTCTAAAAGGGGACTATGTTGAAAAATAAAAAAATAAAATTTAAAAAAAAAGGTGTCTTCATTTCTAACACGGGTACTTATTGAACCGCCCTCGTAGTAGAAGTGGCTGACTTTAGATATCTAGGAAGTTAGATAAGTCAGGACGGAAGGAATATTCGGGATATAAAGCAGAGGATATAGCAGGGTCGAGTCGCCTTCAATAAAAAGAAGTCACTTCTATTACTATCACGATTAATTAAGAAAATCGAAGAAGATTGGTAAAGGTGTATGTTTGGAGCGTGGCGCTGTACGGGTACGAAACACGGACGGTGGGCGCGGCGCAAAAGAAGAGGTTAGAAGCGTTTGAAATATGGTGTTACCGGCGAATAATGAGGATAACGTGGATAGAGAAGGTTAGAAATGAAGAGATATTAGAAACAATAGGAGAACAGAGGATTCTTTGAAAGTCTATAAAAAATAGGCGAGATAGGTTAGTAGGACACCTTCTCAGGCATGAAGGTCTAGTCAGAGACATATTAGAGGCAGAAATAGAAATGAGTGGGGTGCTTATCCAACCAGTTTTATTACTCCGTTACGTAACACGGGTGTTATAAAATTTCTAGGTTTCAATAACGACCATACCGCTTTGCTAAACTCCTTCCGCTTTACAATTGGTGTTATGTCATTTATGTACAGTCTCTTGTAGCTTTTTATATTATTATGTGTTATTGGTAATATATTAAACACAAACCTAATACAATTAGAAAAGGTTTTCTGTACTGCTTTTCCGTGATGAGTTCCCAAAATTGTGATGAATTCTTGCTATCATTGTTTATAGAATCTCTTATCTCTTGCATTCTTTCTTCGATAAAATTGTCATCCGTCCGATTGCTCGACAGCTTCACAATACATTCCCTAGCCTTGTCCGTTTTGTTCTTCTTAGCCAAGTAATACGGAGTTTCCGGTAAAAACCAACACATAACTGTAACAATAAAGGGCACCACGGCACAAGTTCCTGCCAACACGTGATATGACACGAAAGGGCCCACTGTGTAAATATACAATCCGCCCAAACTTCCTAACACAGTAAATAGGTTCGAAAGACGCCCTCGTATATCCTTTTCGGATATCTCCCCGATATAAATTGGAAGAGTCTAAAAACTGGAAACTATTTTGTAAAAAATATAAAAGATAATATAAAACTTACGGCACTGAGCTGACCACTGGCAATACCACCAATTAATCTGGCTATGTACAACGCCATAACCGATCTTGCAAAAAAAATTATCACCCATGACGCGAAAAGTGGTATCGCAGATGTTAAAAGGCTTACTCTTCTACCCAAGTTATTGTTAATCAATATAGCCAAGAAACAACCCACAATCGAGCCTATGTTTCGTATGGACACTATCCATGAAGATTCCAACTAGAGCAGGAATTATATTTTACAATTTTGAAAGTAGTACCGATGTTAAGGGAAATGTGTGTAATCCGTCATTGTATACAATTCCTAGGAAATCGCCCGGAAATGTGTGAAATAAATTATATTAGACACAATTCCTAGGAAATCTATACATTTCCTGAATAGCAATCGGAAATTCATTACATTCAAGCTGTCACCGGGTACGCGGCGATGACGGAGCGAGGCGAGGGTATCCGATCAGGCGATTTATTGTAATTTCCCTCAGTATACTAACGTGGTCTATTCATTTTATGGTAATAGTATGGCTGAGCTTGCATACTTCTCGAAGATATGACTCTAACAGAAAATACCACAAATGGCGCGGTAAACGCTATCTGTAGTACGATGCTACATTTTAGGAATACGTATGCTCCAACAAGGTCCACTTGTGTGGATATCTACTTGCTGAAACGAATCCTGGCGTAGCTAACCTCAACGTGATAGGCACGTTACCATAATCGAATGAAATAATTCGAAGTGGTCTGTATTCTGTCGAAACTGCCAGACGCGGATCGCGATTTCGATCTTTTTG